GTCTGCTCAATCGGCTCAAAAAGCTGAAGAGAGCAAAAAGAGAAAATAAGTTTAGGCGGTTAAGGAAATTGATCAGCCATCCAAAAAGAAGAAGAAAGAATTCAAACCGTATGTCTTGCGGTATGAATTCAATGAAGACTACTACACCATCTTACAGAGGTGAAGGACTGGTTGACCATTGAGAAGCCGAATCCTATGAAGAGTTCCGTTCAGTCGCGGAACAAGAATAAATTCTGCCACTTCCATCAGGATGTGGCCATGACACTAGCGACTTCTACAGTCTTAAGCGAACGTTGGACCATCTAGCTGACAAGGGCTTGCTGAAGTCCTATGTATTGAAGTCCAAAGTGGATTCTAAGACAAATCCGGGGTAGTCGTAAAAACTGTCCAGCCTACTAGTAGTTTAGATGCTGACAAGGATCCGATCTACACCATCCGGGGCACCAAGGATCATATGAAGAGGATGATCCATTCAGTTGATGATGGAAAGGTGTCCTCAAGTGGAACATTCCTAGACTTACTCATTATTGAGAAGGAACGGGGCAAATTTCGCCGACCGTATGATGATCCAGTCGTCATTTAGTGCAAGGTCGCCAACTTGCTGGTTGGCCGAATCCTCATAGACACGGGTAGCTCTTCTGATCTCATTAGCTACAAGTGTCTGTCCCGGCTAAATTACAAGCGGGACGGCCTGCGCGACATCTCCCACCCATTAGTTGGCTTTAGGGGAGGGTTCGTAAACCTAGTCGGACAAATTGACATTCCCATCCGACTGGGGGAGAAGGGACAAGGCGGCACATGGTTGTTTGGTTCCTAGTGGTTAAAGATCTGACCGCCTACAACATCATTCTTGGCCGACCCACTCTAAACGAGTGCAAGGCCGTCATCATCCCAGCTCACATGCTTATCAAGTATGAAAGGAATGATGACACTGTTGGCTCCCTGAACGGGGATTAGAAGACGGCAAGAGAGTGCTATCTCTCTGATGTCAAGCCAGCTGTTTTTGCAGCCGGTCAACTGAAGGAGCTAATAAACCTTGACGATGTCAAGGACCCTGATTCACCCCTCCAGCAGCCGCAAATAAAAGAAAAACTGAAAAGCTGGTGGAGGTAAAGAAGGAAAAGAAATAACAATCGCTGACCGGGGAGCAGTTAGATGATCTCCGTCCCCAGCTGGTTGGTTAGCACATTGATGTCCTTTTGGACGACAGCCGTCCAGAGAGGACGGTTATGGTGGGGACGACTGCCTTTGAAAGGCTTGGTGCAGACTTGCACCATCTGCTGAAAGAATTCAAAGAAGTCTTTGCCTTTTATGTGGTGGAGATGTCAGGCATCAGCCCGGATCTCGCAGTCCACAAACTTGCCATGGATCAAAAAAGAAGCCCATCTAGCAAAAGAAAAGAAACCACGACAAGGAGAGAAGTCAGGCGGCAGCTGCCGAAGTAAAAAAGTTGTTGGACGCTGGGTTTATTTGGCCATGTAACCTCCCCGATTAGGTTGCGAATGTTGTGGTTGTAAAGAAGCCGAATGGTACCGTGTGTTGATTACACAGACCTCAACAAGGCATTTCCAAAGGACAATTATACGCTCCCAAAGATCGATAGTCTGGTCCTCTACAGCCGATCATGCCTTGATGAGTATTATGGATGCCTACTTCGGCTTCCATCAGATATCCCTGTGGAAAAAAGATCAAGAGAAGACGGCCTTCGTCAATGATCAGAGGTTATTCTACTATACTGTGATGTCGTTTGGCTTGAAGAATGCGCCGGCTACTTTCCAACGGATGATTAATACTATCTTCGTTAATCAAATTGGGAGGAATATAGAGGCGTATATTGATGACATGATAGTCAAATCAAATCTACAGACGGATCACCTTACTGATCTCCGAGAAACCTTCACCACACTCAGCCGGCATAAGGTCATGTTAAATCCCTAAAAGTCTGTTTTTGGTTTTGAGTTTGGGAAGTTTGTTTGATTCATGATTGATAAAAGGGGGATAGAGGCTAACCCCGAGAAGATACAGGCGGTGATTGACATGAAGTCACCCCGCATTGTTAAGGAAGCTCATAGGCTTACCGGTTGCCTAACTACGTTTGGGAGATTCCTCAGCCGGTCAGGTGACAAATGTCATTACTTCTTCAAGGCAATCAAGAAGAATACTAGATTTGAATGGGGAGATGATGTTGAGGAGGCCTTTAAGAAATTGATAGAATATTTACACTCCATGCCAAGGCTTGTTAGCCCTTTACCAAAAGAGACGCTTTTCATGTACCTAGCCGTCTCAGATAATGCCCTCAGTGCTGTTCTCCATGCTGAGAGAGACGACAATAAGCTCCCGGTCTATTTCATTAGCCATGTGCTCAGGAATGCCGAACTCTTGTACCCCATGGTTGAAAAATTTAGCTTGTTATGAAGTTGAAACCATACTTCTTGGCATATCCCGGTGGTGATCTACACATATCATCTCCTCAAGCGGCCAATGACAACCCTAGACTCATCAGATAGAATGCTCAAATGGGCTATTGAAATGCAGAGTCTTGAAATCTCCCACGAACCAAGAAAGGTAGTGAAAGGTCAGGCGTTTGTCGACTTCATTGTCAAAATGACAAGGCTAGTTGCTCCGGATAACCGTGATCAGGTTTGGAAGGTGCATGTAGACAGCAGCTCTACTATGAACGGGTGTGGTGCAGGCATAATATGTGAATTCCTGGAAGGGAACAAATACGAGTATGCATTACGGTTCAAGTTCCAAGTCTCAAACAATGAGGCGGAATATGAAGCCCAGATAGCCGGTATCCGCATGTGTAAGGCGGTAGGGGCAATAAAAATTAACGCTTACTCAGACTCTTAGTTGGTCGTTAGCCAATACCATGGTGAGTTTGAAGCCACCCATCCGACTATGATCAAGTATCTACAGGCAGTCAAGGCTGAAGCGGGGACACTTTAAGAATTTCATCTAAGTCAAGTGCCCCCGTCGAAGAACAATCAGGCTGATGTTCTGTAAAAGTTAGCATCCTCTGCTGAAAGGAAAAGTGTCCTTCGAACAAGTGTATTATTCTGATAGTGGGTTAAAAAATATTAGAAAGCTAATATATTCAGTAAGGTCAAGTGATCAAAATCCCTGGGTGGAGGCCGCTTCTAATAAGTAATATTAATGCATAATTAATGTTACAGCTTAATTTTACTGAACCCTTTGGGTCACACCCAAGTAGTCAACGATCCGAAGCGACAAATTAATTCGAAAGGAATCAATGAGTCAATCGAGTAATGTTTATTTAGACGTCGGAAATTCGAGCTTAGAGCGTTGAAACTGAGCGTTGGAAGTCGAGTCGGAAATAATAAAAGACGAGACGTGAAACCATTAATAAATTAACAATGACCAATATACCCCTAGCATCGGAATACCGAGTGCTAGGGGGTTAGCCAAGCTAGCAGCCCGCACCAAGTGCGAGGCTTGCTAGCAAGCTGCTGATAAAGGAATAATCGCTTCGTTAGATAACTACACCTAAATCAAATACAATTTATAACACTCGACTTATCCTAATACAAGTATATGGTAAGAAGAGGGGTCGAACCACAAGGAGAAGCACATAAACACTGCATTCATTACTAGACTTTAAGCTATCTCGAGACAAAGGATAGGAATGACTAAGAGATTAAACTAAAGATAAAACGAGTTAAAATCAATATAACTAAACACTATGGGAAATGGGTAGATGTAGATGTCGCTTGATCATGCAACAACAAAAAAGCAAATCAATAGTGAACTAAACGTGCATGTATATCGAAATAAGTTCCAATCTAACCGCCTTCTGGGGTTAATTTGTTTCCCTAACATAGCCTCTATGTTTCCACACTAGAACCATATATTGGGAGGTGTAATCAAAGAACAATCGATAGTAATGAACCTTAACTAAGTCAAATTCTGTTCCTTGTTAGCAAATATTCACCTTTAGTCAACCAACAATGTGCACTTGCAAGAAGATCAAAGAATATAAAGCATGCAAAGATTTTAATCACAATTAACTTAATCCCAATATTATAAGCATGAACAATTAGCAACTACACCATCCCCACACCCTTGGCTAAGTGACTACTCACAAATCATGTGGAAAATAATATCAATCACAAAATCAATAAGCATCAACATGATCAATAAGCAAAGAAGGAAAATCAAAGTAAACAAACAAAATTAAACGCAAAGGTATAGAGGAAGAGTAAGAGATTGCTCATTATTTGAAGTTGAAGATCTACAAAAGATTAAACAAGCTTCTTCTTCAAAATCCAAGTTCATCAATGAAGAAATCCACAATTTCTCTCTCTACCAAATGAATACTAATAGTGTTTCTCTCTCTAGATTAAGGTAAAAATGTATAAAATTGAAACTAAGTTAATCTAATTACATCAAAACGTTCTCAAATGGAACTTATATAGTCTGTACACAGCTAGTTGAAGTAGGGGAGTGGTCCGACCGAACACTGGGAAGGTTTGGCCGGACTACAGGGTTGGTTTTTTATTGCAGTTTTCTATTGTAGAGGAGTTGCAACCGAACTCAATAATGTTTGGGCGAACTAAGGTTCGGTCGAACCTACTCTGAATCCTTAATTTCTGCAATTCTGGCACAAAGTTTTTAAATTTAGCTTCTAGAGGAGGTACGACCGAACTCAAGAAGGTTCGGGCTAACCTTTCAAAAAGTTCGACCAAACCTTCAGGGAGTTTAGTCGAACCACCTAATTTTCACTTAAATGCTCATTTTGCAACAAAATATGCACAAACACTCCTCTTCAAAACACACTAAAACATCATACCATCATGCTAAGGCAAAGCATACCAAAAATTCTAACACAATCAAAACTCAAAAATCCAACAATCCAAAATTGTAGATAGAAAAATAACAAAGCATCAAGAAAAGAAGAGAGTTGAAAAGGGTTAGAGACTCGGGTTGCCTCCCGGAAGCGATTTTGGTTTACGTCGTTAGCTCGACGTTCCTTGAACTAATCAAGGAAGGTCAAATTGATGATGCATATCAAGAAGATTCACAAAAATTGGTTCATCACTTGGGAATCCTTCGTAATCGGGCTTGAGCCGGCGACCGTTCACTTTGAATGAAGTATGCCCGTCTTGGGAAATCTCATAAGCGCCATATGGGAACACCTCTGTGATAGTGTACGGCCCACTCCACCTTGACCTAAGCTTGCTCGGGAAAAGCTTCAAGCGGGAGTTGAAAAAGAGGACTTTTTTGCCTTTGACATATTCCTTCTTGACAATTTGAGCATCGTGACAAGCCTTAGTTCGTGCCTTGTACATTCTTGCTCTATCGTAAGAATTCATCCTCAACTCCTTTAACTCATGTAGCTCGAGAAGGCTTTGTTCACCCGCACTATGGAGTTCAAAGTTGATTTGCTTGATCGCCCAATGGGTTCGATGCTCCATCTCTACGGGCAAGTGACAATTTTACCCATAAACAAGCTTATAGGGAGTGGTCCCTATTGGAGTTTTGAAGGCGGTCCTATGCGCCCATAAATAGTCGATGAGTTTAAAAGACCTATCCTTCCTTGTTCTATCAATCGTCTTCTCCAAGATCACTTTGAGCTCCCTATTGGTGATCTCCGCTTGACCACTCGTTTGAGGGTGGTAAGCAAGCCCCCGCTCATGAGACACTCCATATCTATCAAGAAGTCGAACGAAGGTGTGGTGCTTGAAATGTGACCCCCATCACTTATTATGGCTCTTGGCACACCAAATCTTGGGAAAATCACTTTATTGAAAAGATTAACCACTACCTTAGAATCATTCGTAGGGGAAGCCACGGCCTCCGCCCACTTAGAGACATAGTCAATGACAACAAAAATATACTTGTTCCCATGTGAATAAATAAAAGGGTCCATGAAATCTATAGCCAACACATAAAAAACTTCAAGCTCAAGGATGGGTTTTGCGGCATTTCATCTCTCCTAGAAACATTCCCCATCCATTGACATCTATCACAAGTCTTAACAAAAATCCAAGCATCCTTGAATAGAGAAGGCCAAAAGAGTATAGATTGTAGAACCTTTGAGGCGGTCTTTTGAGCACTCATATGCCCACCACAAGGAGAAGAGTGGCACATATGGAGAACACTTTGAACCTCGTCGTTGGGGACACATCTCCTCAACAGACCATCGACCCTCTCTTCAATAAAATAGGATCATCCCGAATGTATCTCTTGGCCTCATGCTTGAGTCTTCGACGTTGTTGTGAAGTGAAATCCGGAGGTACGGCACTACAAGCCAAATAATTCACAATATCCGCAAACCATGGCTCCGACTTCACCTTAAGGACATATAGCTTATCATCCCTTAGAGCATCCTCTATTGGAAAACCATCATCTTGAAAACATAGAGCGCCCAACCTTGAAAGGTGGTCCGCCACCACATTCTCGGCTCCCTTCTTGTCTCTCATCTCATAATCGAAATCTTGGAGAACTAAAACCCATCTCAACAACCTCGGTTTAGCTTCCTTCTTTCCTATTAAATATTTGAGAGCCGAGTGGTCGGTATACATAATTGTCCTAGAACCAATGAGGTAGGTTCTAAACTTCTCAAATAAGTGAATAACTGCTAAGAACTCCTTCTCGGTGGTTGTGTAGTTTCGTTGGGCATCATTGAGAGTTTTACACAAATAGTGTATGCCATGTAGTTTCCCATCCTTTCTTTGCCCAAGAACCTATCCAATAGCCTCAGCGCTTGCATCGCACATGAGTTCAAATGGAAGAGACCAATCCGGACCTTGGACAATAGGAGCGGTGCAAAGCGCTTCTTTCAACCTACAAAAAGACTCTTGTCAAGAATCATCAAACAAAAACTCTTTATCTTGCTGCAATAGGGATGTGAGAGGCTTAGCAATAAAAAAAAATCTTTTATAAAGCGCCGATAAAACCCGGCATGGCCGAGAAAAGACCACACTTCCCTCACACTTGTGGGTGGAGGACGTTTCTCAATGACCTCCACCTTTGCTCTATCTACCTCAATGCCGGCATGGGAAATTTTATGCCCAAGAACAATTCCACTTTTAACCATAAAGTGGCACTTTTCCCAATTCAACACGAGGTTAGCTCTCTCATATCTTTCTAAGCAATGAAATAAATTTGATAAACAATCTTCGTAGGTGGCTCCTCCAACAGAGAAGTCATCTTAAAGACTTCTATCTCATCCTCAATCATATCGCTAAAAATTGACATCATGCAACGTTGGAATGTTGCGGGGGCATTACAAAGACTGAAAGGAATCCTACGATAGTAGGAGCGTGTGAAAGTCGTCTTCTCTTTATCCTTGGGGTCAATCAGGATTTGGAAAAATCCCGAGTAACCATCAAGGAAACAATAGAAGGAATGCTTTGTAAGCCTTTCCAACATTTGATCAATGAATGATAGTGGAAAATGACCTTTGCATGTACTTATGTTAAGTTGGCGATAGTCAATACACATGTTCCAACCGGTAACAAGCCTAGTAGGCACTAGTTTATCATGATCTTTTTTCACTACCGTCATGTCCCCTTTCTTAGGCACAGGGTGTACGGGAGATACCCAATCACTATGAGCAATTGGCTGAATAATTCCCGCATCAAGAAGCCTAGCCACTTCCTTCCGCATAACCTCTTGCATGGAAGGGTTAAGCTTTCTTTGCCTTTGTCTAACGGATTTTGCATCTCCCTCTAAATAAATTTTGTACATGCATAAAGATGGACTTATACCTTTGATATCATCAATGGTATAACCCAAAGATTTCTTGTGTTTTCTCAAAACATTAATCAAGAGGGAGGTTTGCTCCTCCGTTAAGTTAGAATTGACAATCACAGGGAAAGACTCATCGAAACCAAGAAATGCATACCTTAAGCCCAAAAGTAGAGGTTTCAAGTCTACCTTTGGTGCTCCCTTACCATTGGGGCTCTCTTCTCTATCTTCAATGTGAAAGAGGTCATGAATGTAAGGAGCCTCCTCTTCCATGCTCGCGTCCTTGCACTCCTTTTTGCTTTTCTCAAGCAAATCCTCATAGAATTGTATGTCTTCTTTTTGAGTACCTATCTTGGATTCATTCAACAACACACTTTCGAGAGGATCATTAGTAGCATGCAAGTGGGAGCGAGAAAATTCATTAAGCACGGTATCAAGAACATCTAATCTAAAGCATTCACCACTTGAGGAGGGTTGTTGCATGACACTATTCAAATCAAATTCAATGGAATCATTGTCAATTTTCAAGGATATCTTACCCTTTTTCACATTGATGATAGCTCTAGAAGTAGCTAGAAATGGTCTACCAAAAATTATTGGAATCCTCTCGTCCTCATCCATCTCTAGGACATAGAAATCCACGGGGAATGTGAACTTTCCTACCCTAAGGGGAATGTCCTCAACCTTGCCCATGGGGAACTTAATGGAACGGTCTGCTAGTTGGAGAGTTATGTTAGCGGGGGAGAGGGTTCCTACACTATGCTTTTGGTAGACGGAATAGGGCATGAGACTCACACTTGCTCCTAAATCACACAAGGCTTTATCAAACTCAATGCCATTTACAGAACAAGGGATGGAGAAGTTACCCGGATCTTTTAATTTGGTAGGAAGTTTGTTGGAAAGAATTGCACTACAATTGGTGGTCAAGCTCACCGTTTCGCACTCCCTTCTCCCACTCAAAAGGTCTTTCAAGAATTTTGAATAGTGGGGCATTTGCTTCATAGCATCAACAAAAGCAACGGAAACATGCAAATTGTTAATGACTTCCAAAAACTTCCCAAATTGGGCATCAAGTTTAGCTCTCACGAATCGTTGAGGAAATGGTAGCTTCTCCTCTCAAGGTTGGCGATTTAGGGGCAAGGGGGTGGCTTCTTTTTCCTTTGGCACCTCAACATCTTTTTCCATTTCAACACTCAATGGATTATTGGTTCTTTCACCCTCATTCTCTAACTCCACCTCCTTTTGGGGCTCTTCCTCAACTAAAGGGTCACTCCCTACTACCTTTCCACTCCTAGTTGTCACGGCATACAAAGGTTTTGGGTTGACTCCTTAACTTGGAATGGTAGAAGAAGAAGAAGAAGAAGACGAAGAAGATGAAGATGAATTAGATGCAAGTTGAGCAATTTAGGTCTCAAGCATTTTCATATGAGCATTGGTTCGATTTTCATCCTCCTCATGCCTTTTTTGATCCTCCTCACGCATTTTCAATAGAGCATCTAACTTAGCCATCATGGGATCATTTGGAGGGGCTTCAAGTTGAAGAGGTTGTTGAGGTGGAGGAAGTTGGGGTTGATGGAAACCCGAAGGCCTATTAGTTTGGGCATAGTTAGAAACATATTGACCCCTATTGCCTCCGGTACCTTGGTTAGGAACATTACTTTGATGATTGTTTCCCATGTTACCTTGATCACCAAAATTTTGATTTTGATGGTCATGGTATCGGGAATTAGGTTGTTGGTTTTGATTACCATACCCCCTTTGGTTAGAGTAGCCTCTTCCTTTGAAATTGGAAGGGCCTCCCCCACCACGGTATTGGTTATCATAACCACCACCATCTTGGTTCCATCCACGATTTCCACCTTGATTCCAATTCCCCATTTGATTGGAATTTGGCCTCAAGTTCCCTACATTCCCCATTCTAGGAGCAAAATTCATAGCATTGACATCTTCCACATTATCATCATGTACATGTTCATGGGGAAGGGGTTGAACTTCACAAACATAAACACAATGGGAGGTATCATGATCATAGGTTTCTCAATTGGAACAAAACATGCATCCTCGGGGCATTGTATTGTAAGAAGAGGGGGAAGAAGTGGTCATACCATTGCCTCCCTTGGTTGAAGGGAGGTATTACCATGAGGATTGGACCTTTCTTTCATCAAATCGTCCATTGGCTTGGTCATTTTGGAGATTTGGGTAGAGAGGTTGTTGATTGTGTTGGCTTGCTCCAATGCATAAACACCCTTACTAGAAGTAGCATCCCTTTCTCCTTCATACCAATCATCATAGTGCTTTCCGGCCTCCTCTATAGTACACTCCACTTCATCCTCTCCTTTGTTCATGATTGGACCGCCGACTGCGGCGTCTAGGCTTGTTCTCCTTTGAGTTGTGAGACCTCCATAGAAAGTGTGAATGAGTTGATACTTAGGTATCCTTGGTGTGGGCATTGACGTTGAAGTTCTTTGTATCGTTCCCATGTCGCACTTAAAGACTCGCCGCTCTTTTGGCAAAAACCTTGGATTGAAGGCCGAGACTCGGTGGTCTTCCTATGGTTATAGAACCTCCTTAAGAAAGCCGTGGTGACTTGGTCCCATGTTGTAAGAGAATTAGGGGGCACCTCCTTCTCTAGCCATCTAGTCCTCTCCCAATTAGAGAAAATGGAAACATCTTGAGGCGAATATATTCTTGAGTCACTCCATTGACCTCTACTATGTCACAA